TGAAAGCACACAATTATTATTCTATGACAAGAATTATAAGCTCCACCCAAGAGACATCCGTATAAAGCTAACTGGAAAGATTTGAAAAGTAAATCTACATTTAGAGCTGTGCAGTTCTCCAAAATGAGATGATTAGGCTGTCATCACAAAAGTGAGTTACAGTAGTCACAACTGCCATTAGATATATTTAAAGTGCCATCCTTTTTTCACAGTATTGTCATAATACTGTCAGTTGGGGGAACTTCCTTGTTTCAAACATATATGTTAACCTTTTCTCCCCCTACAGTGTTAGGCGGAATCTTGTCTGTTCATGAATATTCCTAAATTGGTTCATTAATATTTTTAGAGAAAATTGCTCCAAGGCATTTGATTCCTCCATCCCTCCAGATACCTAATTCCTGCTTTGGTTTCAGAGTCAATATTAACATAAACTCAGATTTTTGCGTGTGGCTCATTTTATAGTATCTCCTTTAACTTCTCCAAAGACAGTCTTTAGTTTCTCAAGTACTATAACATCAATATACAAAGCCATCTGAATCTATTTGATGCACTACATCAACCTCATTTATATTGGCTCAAATCCTATCAGCAGTCCCATCTAGAGCAGATCCATTGAATCATTGTGATTTACACAGGTTTTGGCTTGCTATTCAAAACATTATTCAATAGATCTACTCTAGTTGGGACTAGCAATGGAATTTTGGCCATTCAGATTTTACTGTCATAGACAACCATGTAAATAAAGAGCTATCGGTAGTGATAAAGGACATTATCTGTTGAAGCAATATGGGATATGTAGTTTGAGAAATGTAAGATGGAGTCAGATAGGTTCTGTGTGAAGATGATTTGAGAGACATTGGAATGTATTTTTCTAAGTGCTATGAAAGTGTTTTTCTGAACGGTACAGCGTTGTTCGAGATAAAGCTGAAGGTCAGACAAAGAGGCCTGTGAAAGACTCAACATTCCAAGTTAATTGGAAAAGAGATAAAACACCTGGATTTTCATGGGAATTGAGGGCGGAGGAAGGCATCACAGCCCCTTGAGGCTAATTGGTTAACAGCCATGAAGTGTCAAGAAGAAGGGAGGGGTTAAAGAATGTAGAAAATGGATGATGGGTTATGTGGGAGAGGTTTGAATCCATGATGATGAGAGAGAAAAAGAACTTGATGGTTTGAGCATGTGGCTTGAAGGAGAGAGAATGTGAGTGAAGAGAAAGGAGGTGGGGCTAGCCTACCCTAGCCCAGCTTAGTGTTTTTTTTATTTTAATGGAGAGTAGTTATTTTATTTAACTGTAATAATCTTTGAATATGTTCTTTATGCTAAAGCTTGAGCAACATGAACTGATTATATGAAACTATTTTTCTAATAAAATTAATTATAAAAATCCTTACAAAGGACTGGTCTCTTGAACAGCAGGGTCTGGCTAAATTCAGCAAGGTGGGGAGGGCCACAAACAAGCTATCATTAAGAGTCCTACCTGAGCTGTTGTGAGTTCTAAGGAATCACAAAGCCCATGTGTCTGTACTTGCAAAGTACTGAGTAAAAGTAAACTGTTCTTATAAGGTAAGACTTGTTCAAGGGGCTTACGCTATGCACTGCCGAAGTCTTGGGACTTGCCTCAGTGCAAAGGTGGTGGGTAAGTGGCCTGTCGAACTCTCTGACCGAGTGCTAAGCGCTCCTTAAAGAGACTTTGGCACCACATCTGTATCACTCTCCCATGTTTATCTGGTTGAATTATTTTTGCATTGTAATGCGGGCCTTTCAAAAGTGTAACTATACTTTGTCATTTGGCAGACCAAACTGTAGCACACTTAAGGTAATTGAGGTACTCTGACAAAAAATGCACAAACATATTAATAGCATATTAATTTTATTTGTGAAGTTCTGATAGGATGATTTTACAGCACCTGTAAACAAGTCAATGACGTATACTGCTTGAAATTTGTAACTCTTTGGAATGTTTCACTCCTTCCTCCATTTTTCATTACATAATATTAATTAAAGACAGACATATTAGGCAGACTTCTATTGCTAAAAACACTCATAGCAGCAATACTCAGATTTCTTTTAATTAAATTGTCATTGCACATTGTAATTTATTGCTCCAAAAAAGGCCATTTAATAATTAACACTTCTGATTTAATTGATTGTCTTGTCCTATTTATCTGCTACAAGCTTCAAGGCAGACAGAACTGGCATACAATTTATCAGTAATATCATTTTGCTGTACACTTTCTGGATCACAGTGAAAACCATATAAAATAAGTATTCTTTTACTGAGCTCAGTTCTTGTTTTGCATAATCAGAACAGAATTTCAATGAGTGTATGCCAGCGAAGAGTTCCTTCACTGCCCATTTATTCAAGACAGCATGTATCGAGGCAATCTATAATATGTGGTGTGCATGGGAACAACTACAAACAGTAAATTCGCATGCTTTCCTGCTTATGGGGTGAGTGTTTCTCCCTGTCTAATGAGCATCTGTGCTTCCAGCAAAAGCCTTGCTGTGGGATAACATGTCTCCAGGGGAGAAAGGAAAAACAGTTTTGCAAAAACAAAACCAGGGACCCAGAAGCCATGTCTTGTTGTTCTCCAAAGAACAAGGGAATTCCTGTTCAGAGGCAGGAAGGAAGTGCTGTTGATGGTACATGTTTCAAAAGCCCAACCTGTAGGATTGCATAAAGAGCAACTTTTCCTTCCTCACAAATAGGGAGAGAAGTTGGATTAGCTCCAAATTAGAACCAGCTGTTTCTTTCTCATTAGAATGTTTTCGGGGGGTGGGGTGGGGTCCATAAGAAGGCAGAATGAAAGCAAGTCTGATGTTTCCTGCAAAGGTTCAGCACCATCTCTTCTTTCTTCTATGGACCATGGAGAAGAAAACAGGAGTTGCTTCTATCCTACACTGTGCTTTTGCAAGAAACACAAGGAGTACCCTACTACTACCGCATGGGGGTGAGGAAGTAGGTGGTTTCCCTGTCCATTTGGTTGTTGCAGCATGTAGTAGTAACAATACTGTGTGGGATGTAAGTCATCTCTTCTTTCTCTCCCCACATCTACAAAGCAGGAAGCAGGTACATTTTCTATGTCTCCTCTTTGATGAGCCCAAAGGCAAATAAACTTCCTTTTCATAACATTTTTACACATGCCTTGGGATTCATGGCCTGGTGATGTTGGTACAAACACAATTAATAGGTTTGGCTAGTAAGTCAAAACGTATGTGTCACTGATAATTATGAATTAGTAAGTGTTTAGTTCAGAGGAGTTATACTTTTTAGCAGCAAGTTAATCTGAGATACATTAGTTGTTATTTAAACTGATAAAAACATAAATTGGCAACGAAGTCAATCATTAAGCAACTAATCCATTAGAGTTTTGCCATTAGTTATGCAGTAAGCAAACAAGCTTCATACACCCCAATTTTCATCTCCACATTTTAAACTAGTTATTTAAAATTCATTTATCAGCAAGACTATTACTTGTGAAGAAGAACCAGTTGAATTTTTAAAAATCAAATTGTGGGTTATATACATGCTATATTAAATACATAGCTTGCAGCTTACATGCATGCGTGGAGAGTGCTCATAAGTAAGCGCAGGAATGCTTGACTAAGAACACGCTCACTGTGCATATATAGGGAAGGCTTAAACTTTCTCCATGTCCTGTTTCCCCTCCAAACCTGTCAAGAGGTAAACAGCAAAATAATAATATAATAACAAATAAAAATAAAAAATATTAAAAAATAAAATAAAAAACCACCACAAAAAACCACCCTAAAAGTGATTTTTCCCCTTTAAAAATAATAACAGCAAACACCTGTGTATAGGAGGGGCAGCAAATTGCAGAGGAGGAGACAGGACGTGGATGGGAGAAGATGGAACTCTAGTCATCCACATACAATTACTTGTGCATAATAATAACTACACATCTAACATGATACATATATTTTAAGCTCAACCAAAGTACCCATATTCTGGCTAGTTAAAGGGGAGCAACAGATGACTTTAGATGATTTAAAAGTCAGTCTGAAATTATTTCCTCTTTTCATAAAGTTTTAAGATAGTACTGAAGGAGGAACAAGAGAGAAAATGAGCTTGTATTTTTAGTCATGACACAAATGCAATGCATAGTACTGTAAATGTTTAGTTTTCTCTGTCATGGAGAAGAAAAAACCCAGCAACACAAAAAGAAATCCATTCTTTAACACATACACACACACTCCCCCAAATTACATATTTCTGCTTCTAGAGACTGCTGAAGTACGTGCATAGTCAAGTATTTTTCTATTAATCAGTTTGGAATTTACTGAATACTCTAACCGCACTGTGGATGACATAGGTCATTTTAAGACATTTAGTCAATAGCATTGCCATATAACATTTCATTTTCATTTAAAATTTTTAACAATATTGTAATTTGTGCTGAAAGACTTCAAAATTGCAAGATATATTTGTGGAAGCACAGAGAACTTAACACTTGGAGTATGTTTACCATGCCACAAGTCTGCAATGTTTAGGCACAAAAGGTTAAATTTATAAAGTTATTTCAGACTTACATACAGATTTCTTGTGGTTTTAAGCATTCATCTTGGAATGCTTTTTTCTATAGATGTCTTTTATGAATCCTACACTGCAAATGACAATTATACTCTTCTCCACTGAAGATACATTGTATGCAGTCCTGCATGGGACTGCTGACTTATCTATTTCATAGGGAGAACATACTTGGTATTATCCTGTACTATAAAACAGTATATTAGTAATACTCTCAACTGTAGGCAGGCACAACAGTGTAACTGCAGACAGGAATGTAAAAAATTATAAAAAATATACAAACATCATATTCCTTTTAGCATGGTGGGAAAAGCAGTGTTTGTAATGACTACAAAGTTACACCATGTGCCTTTCTATACACTATTTTACAGATTACTTCACCAAGATATATATTGCCTCATTTATAGTACAGGTGTCTTAAAATTAGACTATAGATATTCAATAAAAATCTATTAAGACCCTCCTCTCTTTATATATATATATAGATAGATAGATACACACATATGCACACACATACAGATTCAGTAGTATTTCCAAGCAAACAAAGTAAAGGTTTGCCCTTCCAGCACAGTAAGAAATAAGGCCTCTCCTATATTAGCAAAAAACAAAAAAGTGTCCATTTTCTTCACTTAGCTCACTGAATATAAGACTCATATATTCATTTTTAAAAAATGGAATGCTACAATTAATTGGTTTGAAGTAAAAAAAATGACATCTATAACACATGACTTCATTGGTTTCTTTGACTCTGAAATCCTGGCACAACATGGACCCACAGTTTATGGCTCTTTCATGCACTTATGACAGCTTTCTTGAGCTTTTCTATTTCCACCTGTGGAAAACAAACATTGAGACCCTCCTCTCTTAATAAATATATGAATCTTCAGTCCTTGAAATGTGTTCTAAGATTCAGTATTACAATGTACACAACCTACATTTTAACCAATACTGAGAAATACTGGTATGCTTACACAGTCCATCTCCTGCCAACACAAAGAGACAAAGCACAGCCCCATACAGAATTTCTTTTCCAGAAATTTCACTTCGATCCTTCCTTCAGGAAGGGGCCTAAGTATTTTTATTGTTTTTAACATACCTTTGCTAGAAGAGAGAGAAGGGACATGCTCTTATGCCTTTCAGTAAATGGTGGTCTACCCACAATTCTCTGGGGAGATTACATTGGCTATCTTTATATAATTACCAAATCCAAATATACATGGTTATGTTTCAAAGTTGGAATGAGGGAGATCTCATAGCGACTAATAGGTTTTTCAAGGTAAGTGTATTATTTAAAGAGTGGTTTTACCAGTTCCACACCCTCAGTGAATTTCCATGGCAAAACTGGGAATCAAACCCAAGTCTCCTGAGTTCAATTCCCCTAGTCCAGCAATGGTGAACCTATGGCACACGTGTCACAGCTGGCATGCAGAGCCCTTTCTGTGGGCATGCAAGTCATAAGTTGCCAGATTGCTACCCCCCCGCACGCAGCCAAACCTCAGAAGGCGGCTGTAGCCACAGTGCTAGCACTTCGACAGACAGATCTAGAGCAGCTGGCGCTGGTGATGGATCCAGAGTGCAGTCTCGAGGCACCTCTGTGCCTGGGATTCCCCCTTCCGCTGCCACTTTTGATTCTGTCACCACCACTTCTGGTTCCACTGCCACAGTGGTACGCTGTCTGCTGGTTTTTCCCCTCCAGTTTGGGTATGCGAGCCCAAAACGTTTTGCTGCCACTGCGCTTAGTCTAGTCCATTACTCTAGCTACTACACCACACTGGGTACCCAAATTTCTTGCCTATCAGGACATTATTAAGAGCACTGCCAATTTATACAAAATAGAAAGATTGCTTACCTGTAACTCTAGTTCTTCAAGTGATCATCTGTGAAGTCACACTATAGGGTTTAATCCTGTGCTTGTGCAGAGGTTAATGGAAATTTCTAGAGCTTTAGCACCTGTTCACCAGGACTGCCCCCCCCCCCGTATACAGTGGGGTCTTGACTTGAGAACTTAATCCGTATTGGAAGGCGGTTCTCAAGTCAAAAAGTTTGTAGGTCAAGTCTCCATTGACCTACAGTGCATTGAAAACCGATTAATCCCGTAACAGGCCGTTTTTGTTCCATTTTGGTTTTTTTCTGGTCTGTAAGTCAATTCTCAGGCTGCAAGTCAAACCTAAATTTTGCGGCCAGAGAAATCTGTAACTCAAAAAGTCTGTAAGTCAAGCCGTCTGTAAGTCAAGGGTCCACTGTACATGGTCCTGGCGATTGCCTCAGTTCCTAAGAACAGTCCACCACTGTACAAAGCATGAGACAGACGTGACAGAGGGGAGGATGGGAAGGAAGTGTGAATTCATAGATGACCACTCAAAGAACCAGAGTTACAGGTAAATAACCTATCTTTCTTCATGGTCTCTATGAATGCACACAAATGAGTGATTAACAATCTCACTTACCAGAGGAGGGACGTCACAGAAGTACTGATGACAACACAGTTTGCCAAAGGCTGCATTGGTCTTAGCTGTTACATCAAGGTAGTGAGTGGCAAAGGTAGACAGGGCTGACCACATGGCAGCTCTGCAGATGTGGAAGCAATGACAGTTCTAGTGGAGTGTCCAGTGGGTTGGGATGGTCTATGCTTCTGAGCAAGGTTGTAAGCTAGGTGTATGATTGTCACAATCCAACGGGAAACCATCTGGGAGGAGATGGGGATCCTCTGTTAGGTAGATGGGGAGTCTTTTAGATTTGAGGAAGGAAGAGGTTTTGGCTACACAGAATGCTAGAGCCAGACAAACATCCAGGGAATGTAAGGACTGTTCGAGATCAGTGGACGGTGACAGGAAGAAGGTAGGTAATATGATAAGTTGCTTGATATGAAATTCAGAGACGACTTTTGGCAAGAATGAAACATCTGGACAAGTGACCTTGTCAGGCTGGAACTGGAGGTAAGGTGGGTCTACGTGAAGCACAGCAAGTTCATGAGCCCTTCGGGGGTAGGTAATAGTGATGAAAAATATGGTTTTAAGTGAGAGTAGTCACTCAGCAGTCGTTGCTAGTAGTTCAAAAGGAGGTAAAGTGAGAAGCGTAGAACAGTATGCAGTGACCACTGCGGGGGCAACGGTGGACGTGATGGTCCATGCTGGTGAGACCTTTGAGGAATTGTTTGAGAGTGGGATGACAGAACAGTCTCTCGGTTGATGTGAGATTATGGCAAATAACCTTGAGGATGGACAATGAAAGGTAATGATGGAAAAGATGTAGGAGAAACGCTAAGAGTGCATCAAGAGTTGTTGGCACAGTCGATAGGTTATGTTGTAGAGCAAATTTTGAGAAGATGGTCCATTTATAGGCATAAAGACGGGTGTCAGATCTTGATGATGGTTCGCAGGAGAAGAGATACTGGAGGAAAGAGGTAAAGGAGGTTTGTGAACCAAGTCATCATGAAGGCATCACTGAGAGACCTGGGGTTGATTCCTGCTCTGGAACAGTAGCAGGTGCATTAGGCATTGTGTGAGACGACAAATATGTCTATGTGGGGGTAGCCCCGAATATTGCATAGGTGGAGAAACACTGAGTTGTTGAGGGTCCACTTGTGTGTTTGAGTGTGAAGTTTGCTTAGCCAGGTCATCCTGAGAGATGTGAACTGCTACAGAATAGATGTGATGTTCGTAGCACCATTCCCATAGCTGGACAGTGAGGTAGAGAAGGGAGAAGGGAGTGGGGGTACCTCTTTGCTTATTGATGTAGAATGAAGTGGCAGTATTGTCTGTGGTGACTTGTACGCCTCTTCCAGCAATGATGGATTCTAAAGAACGGGAAGTTTTAATGATAGCTAGAAGTTTGAGAAAGTTGATGTGAAGTTGTCGTTCTGTATGTGACATGAAGCATGTATCTGAAGGCCACTGCAATGTGCTCCCCATCTGATGGGGCTGACATCATTAGTGACTTGAATGGTAAGTTGAAGGGGCATGAAGGGCCTGCCTATGAAGAGGCTGGCTGGCGTATCCCATCAAACTAACTGAGCGGCGAGCTCTGGTGTGACTTTGAGAAGTTTGGTGAATGGATCAGAGTGGGTTGAATAGAGACAGGTATCAAGTCTGGAGTGATTGCATTTTTAGTTGGGTATCTTATATGACCAAGGCTGTAAAGGCAATTAGTCCAAGGAAGCATTGGGTTATTTGATGGGCTGTAACAGCAGTGCGAGACTGGAAGTGAGTGTAGCTTTGCTGCCCATTCCTGTGGGAGGAAGGCATGAGCCCATCGTGAATCCAGGACTGCTCCTATGTAAGTCACCGTTTGGGAGGGTCGTAGGATGGATTTGTCCATGTTGACTTTGAGGTCCAGATCCACCAGGAGGGAAAGAGTGAGATCTATGTCATGCAGGACCTTGGAATGAGGAGGGGCAACCAATCATCAATGTATGGAAAAACCGTGACTCTCTGTAGACAGAGATGTGCAGCTCCTTGGGCCATGCACTTTGTGAAGACATGGGGACAGTGGAGAGGCCGAATGGGAGGGCCTTGAATTCACAGACAGAGTCTCCAAGGGAAAATCTGGGGAATTTGCAATTATCTGATTGGAAGGTTATGTGAAAGCATTGCTTAAATCTATAACAGCAAACCAGTAGTCTTTCTGAAGGAAAGGTACAGTGGTGCCCCGCATAGCGACGTTAATCTGTTCCGGATTAATCGTCACTATGCAGAAACATCAAGTTCCTCCATAGCGCCGCCATTTTCGCGCCCTTGGTAAGTGAGGGCAGGGCGCGAAAACACTTGCAGTGGCCATTTTAGGCACCCGGCGGCCATTTTGGAACCACCGATCAGCTGTTTAAAAAACATCGCAATGTGAAGATTGGTAAGCGAAACGCTTACCGATCATCGCAATGCGATGTTTTACCCATTAAAACATCGCAATGCGATCGCACTAGCGATCTAAAACATTAGATCACTATGCGGATTCATCGTTAAACGGTGCACTCGTTATGCGAGGCACCACTGTAGTATGCATTCTAGTGTACAGAAATGTGTTGGGGCAATGTATGAGTTGAGGTCAAGTAGGTCGAGGATGGGTTGAAGACCGCTGTCTCTATTGGGAACTGTGAAGTAACAGGAGTAAAATCCTGGGTCACTGTCTGGTGGAACAACGGGAACGATGGCATCTTTTAAAAGTAGGGATCAAACGTCTTCCAATATAGGTGATGGAGTTGTTATTTTTGCTGTTCTTCAGGGTGGGAGAAGAGAAAATTCAGTCGTAGACTCCACGGCGACAATGGAGAGTACCCAAGAATCGGTAGTGATGGAGGACCAAGCTGGAAAATGGGCTGCAAGACGGGTGGTGTTGAGAGACCGTAGGGTGGAATGTGGGCCAATATGGGTGAGGGGAGAGTCAAAGATTCTGGTTTTCTTGTTGGAGCACCTGACAAGGATTGTCAAGGGTGCTGTTGCATAGTTTGTCTAGGCGGAAAAGACAACCAAGATGATGGTAAGTATCTTTGCCTATCGACTAGTAGACAGTACTGTTAGTAAAAGTAGCTACAATGCCACTGGTATTGTTGGGGCGGAAATAAGGTTGTGTACTATAAGCACTATAAGTGCTATTTTTCTCATTTTCTGTAGGTTATCTAGGATTTCATCCATTCTGTCATCAAAGAGGCCAACACCATCAAATGGTAAGTCTTCAATCCGCAGGCATGAATCTTGATATATGAGCAGACCTAAGCCATGCATGTCTGTGGAGTGCAATCACTGTGGCCATATGTTTGGAGGCAGCTTCAATCACATGACAAGCTGTGATTCGCTCTTGGCAGGCAAAGGCCATGGCCTCTTGATGGAAAGTAAGGCC